GCTGAGGTGGGCGTATGTTTCGTTGCCTGGCAACCTATCTTTAGATGTTCCTGTAATGGCACTGACAGCAACTGCGTCACCCTTAAAAAGAAAACACATTATGAAAAGTCTTTGTTTACATTCGAATTGTGACATGATCATTGATTCCCCTGATCGCAGTAATATTAAAATATCAGTTGTTAAAAGTTCCAGTGTAGCTAAATCTCAACAATATTTTAATAAAATAATAGAAGATCTTAGCCGGCAGAAACAATCCTATCCAAGAACTGTAATATTCTGTGCCTTACTGAACGATTGCTCCAAATTGTACTTCTGTTTTGCAGAAAAGTTTGGTCCCCATTGTCAAATGTTTACAATGTTTCATAGTGAATCTAAAGTTGATATGAAGGAATACATCCGAAAAGACATGAATTTAGAGCAAGGTTTTATTCACGTGTTGATATGCACACACATTTATTGGTGTCTATTTAAATGATGACTTGTCATTTTCGTCTACTTCAAAGAAACCGCAGTAGGATCAAAGGGTCCGATTTTGTGGGATAAGTCTAGTTGTAGTAGAAACGTATATCGTACGATATACGACTTTAAATCTCTCCACTAGATAATTCTTTTTGTGAAAAAAACCCAAAAAAACGTTACAATAGACATAGTGTTTTATTTATTTCTTGTGATGATACCGGTAATTAAAAATAACTGGAAACGATATGGATTTATTTTTTACTTACAAACACGGTAAGCATTTCTTTCGTTGTATTTTATTACTTGATGATAAACATGTGGTAGTAAATATTTCAACTCTTTACACATGCTGTTTAACTAAATAATTATAATATAATGAAATTACGGTCAATATTCACAATAATCCACGGCCGATATACCGAAGTTGTAACTGATGATCGTTACATTTTATTTAACAAACATCGTGGGATTGTTAGGAATGCTAATTATAATTTTTTTTTTTTTTATCGCAGGAATATCTACGACCGATTACGGAATTTACTGTCTCATTATTATTATTGTCGACCATTTATCAATGATGTAGCTTATTGCTTATTCGCCCCCATAATTGTCGATCGTTAATACATGTATCTTTTTCAAAAAAACACATGCTATAATATTCAGGCGACTGGTTTATATCATGCTGTATTTTTTAGACGACTATCGATTTCCCGAAAATTGAACCGGTTTGTAGGTAAAACCGAACCGACCCTGACTTAACCAACTAATCGTCACACCCCTAATTTATATGCATTATTTAAATTAGTAAAGCGAAAAAGCCTGTCAAATTCAACAATTTCTGTAGATTACTTCCAGAGTTGAGACCCTTGTTTCAGTCTGTAGAACCTTGTGAACCTTCAAACGACAAAATTTATAATCTGATCTGTATGGAACTGTCTTGTAAAGGCCCCCAATTACCTAAAAAGGAATGAATATGCGACAACCCTTGTCGACCACTCTGAAAATTTAGCTACTGTAGGCGTATGTTTTGTTGCCTGGCAACCTATCTTTTATTGACTTAAAACATATGACACTACACATATTTAGGAGGTTTCACATCTTCTCACGTTTCTATTACCTGTAATGACAAATGTGGGGAACTGATATAAAAGCTAAATGATGAATGCCTATCACAAATTTATATTAACAATTAAACATTCTTTCTATTATAGTCTTCAGGATAATAATAGTCATTAAACTGACCATTACTATCACAGCTTCTAAGTAATCTTATAATGGCCACCATCATTTCAGCTTATCCATAACAATCCTTTATAATGTTCTAGCAATTCATATACACATACCCTCATATGCCCTGGACTGAATAGCCTATTACACTGAGAAGTACTAAAGGTGAGATTTGTACGTTTACAGTATAGTTTTCTCGCGTTTTAGTAAATTTCTACAAATATCGGTAAAATTCTAATTATCGCAACAAATCTAATACGAAGAGGCTAAAATCTGTAGGTACGGTGTGTTAATTAACAGAGGTGAGAAATTGACTGAAAGGTGATATAATTATTGCTAGGGGTGAAAATCTCGGCGACGGTGTGTTTTCTGTACCGGTGTGTTAATTAACGAACGGGTTAAAAACGACTGACACGGTGTGTATTCTTTGTTTGGTGAGTTTTCTCGAAAGCGTGTTATAACTGCAGCAAAGGTGATTTATCAAGGACCAGCAGGCTTTATCTGACGCGTAGGTGTTAAATCTAATTTACCGTTTGATTTTTTGTTCGACCGTGTTTTACGCAGATCGGTCTTTGTTAAGTGTAGGTCTTTATACATGGATTTATACGTGGGATAGGTACGTATATCCTTTCTTATACGTATTTCATTTCTTGATGAATACTACGTGTTTTGTACTTCGTACCATAGTCGGACTGCAGTTATTTATATATTTGATCTTTTTTGTGGGTTTAATTTGTTTACAAATTGTCGTGCGTACCACTATATAAATGCTCGTATCTTAAAATTGATCACACGCTGTACCGTTATTTCCCGATATCATAACCAACCCCAATTTGATTATCCGATATATTCTAATCGCCATTGTTATCAGATTAACGAATCTTGTTTCGAAAACAAGTTTATAAATGTAAAATTGCACAATTAATGAAAATCTATAAGTTTTCGTCACTGCTATATTTACTACGCGTTGGCGTATTAATATTTTAATGTATAGTTTCTTGCCTGGGTCATAGATAGGACTACCGAGAAAAGTAATTTCCTCACTATATATAACAAATGATAACTCACATATCAAAGTACAATGATGAAAATAGAGACATGCGCCCGCTTCCGCCCACGGTAATATTGCCCATTGTCGAACATTATTCAGATTCGATCGAACTCTGTGTATAACAAGCTCGTCTTTGAAAGAATAATACTGATATATGACCTAATATTGAGACGCTTGTTCATATAGCCGCTTGTTGTCCATTGTATGAAATAGCTTTATTAATTTACTCCACAGTATTAAGAAACCACGGGTTCTGTGTCGGTTCATGCACACTTTTCACACGGAACTTTTCTTTGATGTTGACAGGCACACACAGTTCGCTCTGCTCTTTGATGTTGAGCGGCGAGTTGTTTCTCGTGCTCGAATGTATCAGCTGATAAAGTTGGTTGGAATTGTTACAGTTTATTTCAATAAGTACAACAAAAAGGACAATTTTGTAATGTGGGTGAATACTGTGGTATATTCAATTTTGATCTTATTGCAATGGATAAATGTGTGGTTCACTTTTCGAGCATCTCATTTAAATAAAGCTTATTCTATTAACATAATATGTATATATTATATTCATTCCATTTTTTTTCTCATAGGAAATTTCGGTTAGTATCTGAAACGAAAAAAACTGTCCAAGTCATTATATTATGTTGTAATCAGAGAAATGTTCAAACAAAGAAATGAACTAGACAAGATAAAGAGTATAAGCAATACCATTATTTGTTGTCACATATTTTAATTGATTTCTAGCTTTATATACATATAATACGTTCGTTATTTGATACATGTATATTTGTTGCATTGTATTAATGTTCGTTTATTTGTTACATGTATATTTGTTGTATTGTATTTATGTAATTTTTGTAATTGTATGCTGCTCCTCGTGAGCGTTTTTATGCAATAAAATTTACTTACTTACTATTGATGTTTATATGCGTTCATAGTTAAATGTTTTAATTAAATCGTAACGTATGAATTGTGTGCTTTATTTTTCATCGAATTGGCAATTTTTATTAGCCAAGACATTCGCTGCTACACGCATATTTGCTCCAATAATGATAGTTTGTGGAATTTTATGGGGTTTTAAAAAGAAACATAATCAATGGGTGGAATTTAAGACTGGGCAGGGCGAAGACGGGGAAACGTTATCATGTTGTTATTCAAATTATTCAAAGACATATAAGGCCAAGAAATACGCGATGACATTGAAAAGAAGAAAATGCTTGTGCTACTATGCCGACATTATCACGGCGTACATGGACTAATGCTAAATCATAGGACTATGATAATTTGCTATTGCATATTAACAAAAAAAAAATCTTTGTGGAAAATTTAAAGTCTTTTCTAATAATATTAACAGATTATTTTTTGTTTGGTGGTTGTTCTTTTTGGATTTGTTAAATTATTTAATTATAATTTCTAATTATAATCACCAAATTGACACCAGAGCATGAACTATACGCTTCGCTGATCACCAACTTGTAACAACATTGACCTAGATGTTATATAACTGCTGCCAGACTTTATTAGGGGCAATAAATGGACACACAATTCCATTGTAACTGTATAATGTGTATTATAAACCAAAGGACAAATATCCAAATATGCGTAAATTATGAGGTGATCGGTAACACAATATAAAGCTGGCACATCCAAAGCGACTTACTAATGACTAATGAGCTTAGGTATACCAGCGAGGGTCGACTAAAGCTTAAGCCCCGCCCACGAGTGATCACCGGTGATCACGTGTTTACTTATCATTGTTTTAACTATTGAGTTGTACACTTGCCGATAAAATGTTTTATGTACATAAATGATTTTTATCGACTGACGTTGGGTGGAACCCATTCTCCCCCCCCCCCCCCCCCCAAGCACCCGACAAGTAAATAATAAGGCAAAGGATGATAGATGATATGAAAATGGTCATTTAATTATTCATAAATGACGAATAAAAAATACAATATATACAAAAGATAAACAACATAAACAATTAATGAATAAACAAACAAACATGCATAATATACCAAATTTTCAATCACATATTATAAGGATTGAAAAACAGCAAAAGAAATTATTTTCAAAACATTTTAATTAAAGTAACATTGCAACTCTATACAGCAATTGAATGAGACATAGATGGGGGTCATCGAAGATGAAACCGGCCAAGGTATGGCAGGCCGAATCTTCAGTCAAGGTCTGTTATACCCCCCATCCCGTATCATTAATTATTACTATGGCTGATGTAGGAAGAGCCCCCATGTGTCTACCTAACTTATAACTGAAGGACTGGTATGCGGATGTATTTTTTGTAAGCGTCTGAATTCCATCTTCCCATTCTCTGAATGGCTTCCATGGAATGGCCTCCAGAACAGGCCGCAGATGCTGCGCCGATTCGGAAACTATGTGCCTTGTATAAGTGTGTGTTAAGGCCTGCTGCCTTAAGTGACAGTTTGAGGTAATTAGTAAATTGAAGTTGAGATACCCCAGAGTGGTCTAGCCAAGCAAACAATGGGCCCTTAAATGATCCTCTGAGTTGCAGAAAAGTCCACAATGCAGTCACTGGACAGCAAGCGCTGAAATAAGCGTCCGGACACGGACAATGTCCGGGCGAATTGACCCCTTTTGACAGGCCAAATTGCCTTTCGTCCGGACATAATTGTCCGACCGTGTTTTTGTAAAACATTATGTCAAAAATATTTGAGTCGATCGCTATTTATTATTAGACTCGAAAGTCCAGAACCAAAAATATCAATGACCCGAGTCATAGTGAAAATGTTACTATTTATATCTCGGCCGCGTGCAGATAAAATCTTCAATAATTTTTAGAATCGACTCTTTTATGCTGGTTATATCAACGACCCGAGTCATAGTAAAAATATTACTATTTATACATGTATCTCTCTCGGCCACGTGAAGAAAAAATAATGAATAATATTGAGAATCGGCTCTTTTACACTGGTTATTCGAGTCTCGTAGCTAGCTTTGCGTTACTTTCGTATATGATTAGCTCTAAATCACACCTAACATGACATGTAATTATATAAATTATTAGTAATAAAAGTAATAATATTTTAAAATTAGTTTACAAGAAAATGTCCAAGTTGACTATGGATGTAATTAGGGACAGATTTTTTATACGAAAATATCTCACTTTGTTGGACACTTCCAATGTGAATGTAAATAGAAGAGCCGTGAAAACATGTCGAATAAAATAACTTCTTACTTTTCCCAACCCTCGGACACGGATATCCCGGCTAGTGGGACCGTTCCAGAAAATTCAAAGACTGGTACTGTGTCTTAATCTTATGTCTCTCATAAAGACACTTCTAAACGGGGGGCGTCGCCGTCACCAGTTGGAAAAATACAAAAACGAGCCGTAGAACTAGAAAAGTGGATCAAAAATGACTTGGCAGATTCTGAACCATTTACGACAACTCAAGATGTCTATTCTTTAGTTAAATTTGAATCTTAATCAGAGTTTTTAGGATTTAGTCCCCAGCCCCACCAAAGAGATTAATGACATTATTATATGAACTATAAAGTTGTATTCCATATACATATAAAAACTTAAAACTCCAGGTTGTATGTGAGTCATCAATTTATTTTATTAATAAATGTATGTATAATAATATATATAAACATAGTAAATTTCAACAGTTTTTTGGTTTAATATACTTTATAAAGTATTTGTCAGGCTGAAAATCTGAAATGTCCGGCCGAAAATCAGTTCAGCCTGACATGATGTCAGGCTGAACCTTAGCAGTTATTTCAAGGCTTGCTGGACAGAGCTGAGGAACTGTTCCTTTAGCGAGATGTAATGTTGGGATGAATTTGCCTGCACTATGTTTGAAGTTCTGTAGAGAAATGTCTACTGAGCCAGGTAACTTATCCGGTAACAATCGAAATTGAACATTTTCAAATTGTAGGACGTTTTTTCTGTTGTCCGCCGATGAGATTTCTCCAATGCGCAGAAACGCGTGAAATGCCAATAGATACATGGCTCTCAGCAGACATTTCTTAAAGTAACTAAAACCGAGTAGGTCCAAGGATTCTATGAGTTTTTTCAAAATGCATGGCGTTATTGGCAATCTGGCGTCTCTGGATGGTTTATTTTTTTAGAAAGCCTTGCTTAATTTTCTGCACGAGGAAGTGGTTAGCAAAACTTGGAAAACCTTTTATTTGGTTAAAGTAGTGGAGTACTGATAAGTACATAGCTACAGTGGAATATGCCCGTTTGATACTGTAGCAATGGGCAATGAAGGTTAAGATGTGGTCAATTCTGACCGGGAAGGATGAATCACCCGGAAAGTGGCCATTGATGAAGGCCAGATACATTTTCTTAACCTGTCCATACTGTCTCTTAATAAGGGAACCTTTGGTGATATCCTTTGTTTAGACTGGAAGGGTGCGGCATCTAAAAAGTAAGAGATTTGTAACTACTTAACCAATATATACGTTACAGTAACAGCAAGTGGGAATGCACGGATGTAGGACTGCGGTCCATTTCTGGGAATTGCGCGTGAAAGGAAACGAATTTTAGCCTAGATAACAGATATGCTGTGCCTTGAAAAGTATGTTAAATTTCAGTGTTTGCATTATGAATCTACGCAACAGTTTCATGATTTTTGTGTCTTTTGACGTTTTCTTATTCAATAAATGCACGACTGCTATGTTGTCACAGTGAAACAGAATGCATCTGTTGGTGAGTTGCGGTGCCCATATTTCTACTGCTAGGATGATTGGGAAGAGTTCACGAATTGTAATGTGTGTCGAATTGAAACTATCGTCCCATGATGTTGCAAACCATTGATTTTGAAATATACAGGCAAAGCCTATAAAACTAGCATCCGAATAAAGCTCTAATTTGTCTGAAGACAACCAAATGTCGGGCAGAAGAATCGCTTTACCATTAAATTCATTGGCAAATCGAGCCCATGCATCAATGTCAGCTAGTGCCTCTTTGTTAAGGCGTCTACGATGAAAAGATTTCCTGAGCCCCATGGTCAGGTTGATAATCCTACGTAGGAATATTCGTCCCGGCACAATAACTTGGCAGGTAAAATAAAGGAACCCAATCAAAGATTGTAATTCTTTAAGTGTGGTCCGTCTTTTATTTTGAAAATGTAATAACAGCTGCCTTAATTTGTTAAGTTTATCTGTTGGGAGACGGATTTCCATGGCTAGTGTATCAATTTCATTGCCCAGAAATTGAATGGTCGTGCATGGCCTTACTGTTTTGTCTGGGTGAAGAGGCACGCCCAAGTCCCTACAGATCTTAACAAAACTATTAAGGCTCTTTTCACATGATTTAGAGGTGGGAGGACCGAGGAAAAGAAAGTCATCAATAATATGTCTGCATTTAGTAGGTTTAAATTTATTCTCCATGATCCAATGAAGGGCGTGACTAAATTTCTCAAATAAGTTACATGAATAACTGAGGCCAAATGGTAAGGTTTTGTCATAATAGTATTTGTTTTCAAACGTAAATCCCAGTAGGTAGAAATATGCTGGATGTATGGGAATTATTTTAAACGCGTTTTGTATGTATGTTTTTGCCATTAAGGTACCCATACCCATGGACCGTATGATTCGTAATGCATTATCAATAGTTTGATATGTGACACTTGAGTCAGCTCTTGAAATAAGAGTCATTAACCGATGTGCCACCGGGAAATGATAAGTGATGGATCATCCTAAATTCGCCAGCTGTGTGTTTAGGCACGAGCCCTAAAGGCGAACTGCAGAAATTAGGAAAGGGTTTTTGATTAAATGGGCCTGCGACTCGTCCGGCCAAGATTTCGTTCATAATTTTTTGTTTAGCAAAATGCTGATCTAAGGATAAGGACTTTAAGTTTTTACAAGTTTGTGTTGGTGTGATCTTATATGATGGAATGGTAAAACCAAAACGGAAGCCATCGATCAAGAATTTTTTGGCATCATAATTATAGCCGTATAACCAAAAATCTAGGAATGAAGCATTCACCGGAGTGCAAATGTCTAAGTGCGGTCATTTGTTGGAAGATTTTGTGAATGGCCTGCTATCTCTAGAATACTGCAGCTGGTTATTTCTCGTATGAGCGTTATTAGGTTTAGTACATACGTATTTGTGATGTTGGCCTCTGCAGTTTTGGCATATGTGGGGAAAAGAGCAAGATGCACCCCTGGCACATGCTCCTTTGTTGTTATTAAAAGCAAAGCAGAATTTAAATTTAGGTGTATCTGAACTTAAGTGATTGTTGTTAAAACCTGACTGTGTTTTAAATTTGAGACCAGTGGCCAGGGCTTCCTGGTAAAGTTCCATGTTAACCATATCCATTGGTTTAAGTGAGGGGTTTAATTCTCTCCATAGGCGGAACGATCTATCGTAATTGATGGCTGCAGCCTCACAAGATTGTTTTGCCAGCCTCTGTATGTCTAAGACATATTTCATCAATTGTACAGCCTCATGTGGGAATTGTTGACAAAAAATCCCTACAAACATGTGGAAGGCAGTCAGCCATTGGCTTAATAAATAATCATGCAGCACCACACTCTAGTGTCCTAATGGTTTACATTTCTTCATTGCCAATAATACCGCCCCGCGTAAATTTCTAATATAAGGTTGATAGCCGTATGCCTTGGATAAATGGACGCCGTCGGAAAACACCGGTTTAGGGGAGTTATTAATCCCACTAAAACACCAAAAATTAATCATGTCTTTGTTCTTTAAATGTTCTTTTAGTGCACTGTTGGCTTCTTTTACTCGTGTATTATAATCCACAATCGTGCAGTTCCTTGTCTTGGTTCTGTTAAACAATGATCCTATTGTCACACTCTTTATATTATATCGCTTTCTAAGAGTCTCTGCGTACACGATTAATTTAAACATTATTAATTCGGTGTTATCCTCGGCACTATCAAGGTCGTTTCCTCCTAAATGAAGTATCAGATGACTTGGTTTTTCGGAACGAACTTTCAACTCGAATTTATGTACGTGTTTAGATTTGAGAATAGAACCGCCAGAAACACCAAGTAAACATAACTTGAAACAGCTTTTCTTTAAGTTTAAATTGGTCCATTGTGTGTTCTTTTGAATAAAGCTGTCCAATCTTGCGATGTGCGAAGCTCCAAGAATAAGAGTTTTTTCTTGCATTTCAAGATGGCGGTCTAAGTAGGTCACCGACAGGGTGGGTACCATAGGAGAACTTGGAACTGTGCTATTAGAATTAACACTAACTAAGTCATTTACTGGAGCTTCTATACTAAATTTAAAACTTACTCATTTACCACCGGGTTTCCCAAATTAACGATCCAAGACTTTCTCCAAGAATTTTAAACAAATATCCAAATATGCGTAAATTATGAGGTGATCGGTAACACAATATAAAGCTGGCACATCCAAAGCGACTTACTATAATGACTAATGAGCTTAGGTATACCAGCGAGGGTCGACTAAAGCTTATATAAGCCCCGCCCACGAGTGATCACCGGTGATCACGTGTTTACTTATCATTGTTTTAACTATTGAGTTATACACTTGCCGATAAAATGTTTTATGTACATAAATGATTTTTATAGATTTCAGAACAGAACAATAATATTCCAAATACATTCACTGTCTTGTTATATGATGACTTTGGTTTAATAAAATTTAAAATTAGTCATGACTCTGTAAGTTAATAACGATGTGTTGTGTATCCTATTTAAAAACTAATTTGTCAGCGACACAAACGCCTCAATGGATTATGTACATAAGCTATAGATATTTTAATTACATCAAAGGTGTATTAGAAATTACTGTTGATCTGAAATAGTTTCTTTTTAAAAAATATAGAATAATAAATAGCCAGAAATATTGAAAATGAAGCTATATAGGTTTAAAACTATGACTTTAAAATATAGTGAATATGTCGAAATGGGTAACTGCAGCAAATAAATTAGTATTGCCTAATTATATAAATATATTCCTATAAAGGTAGTGGCCTAATTCTTTCACGCAATTTTACATGTCGATGTGAATAGAATACATAACAAATATAGTGAAATTTACTGAAATATACATGACAAACCATCTCTTTATGCAAAAACTTTGGTGTGCATCATTATTTTGTTTTATGAGTTATCACATTGTTAATGCCCCACGCCCCCTTTATGTTTATAACATTTTCTCTGATTGTAACAGCTTTAAGTGACTTCTCGATATCATTCAAAATAACAAGTCTTTGCTCTGCAAAAGGAGATCAAACAGTTATAAATGGGATTTAGACAAAAGGGAAACATATTTACGCATATACTTGAAGACTTTCTGTTTCAAATCTACTTTGTATTATTCATCCGTTTTATGTGATTTATTTTTGGTATATACGGACACATATTTAATATTCAATATTGTTCATACTGTATTAACAGGCCTTTAACAAATACATGTAGATCATGCTATAACCCGATTCTAAACCCGTATCCATGATTTGTTTTACTTCAAGTTTTTAGATTTCGAAGCGCACACAATTAAGCAGAATTGGCAGTAAAAAAAAATAAAAAATTACTACAGCTTATTATGAAAATCGTTTCAAATAAAGCGACCGAAATAAAAAAAAAAAAGACACCAAAGTGATTTCCAAAGGCGATTGCATGCTTTTAGAATAGAACAAGCTAGGCGACACATGTAGCCGTGCCTAGTCTGTGCAACGGATGCGGGACCGAGAGTTAGATTTCTTTACGTTTGACTAATTGTTCAAGAAGGGTCATCTAAGCTGTTGAAAGAAGGGAACCAAACATACCCTAATGCGAATATATCGGGAAGACGTCATGTAAATTTGCGAAAAGCTGTTTTGTATGAATATATGATTACAATATAATGGCTGCTTCGAAAACAGATTGGTTAATCTGATAACAATGGCGATTAGAATATATCGGATAATCAAATTGGGGTTGGTTATGATATCGGGAAATAACGGTACAGCGTGTGATCAATTTTAAGATACGAGCATTTATATAGTGGTACGCACGACAATTTGTAAACAAATTAAACCCACAAAAAAGATCAAATATATAAATAATATGTATAAGAAAGGATATACGTACCTATCCCACGTATAAATCCATGTATAAAGACCTACACTTAACAAAGACCGATCTGCGTAAAACATGGTCGAACAAAAAATCGCACGGCAAATTAGATTTAACACCTACGCGTCAGATAAAGCTTGCTGGTCCTTGATAAATCACCTTTGCTGCAGTTATAACATGCTTTCGAGAAAACTCACCAAACAAAGAATACACACCGTGTCAGTCGTTTTTAACCTGTTCATTAATTAACACACCGGTACAGAAAACACACCGTCGCCGAGATTTTCACCCCTAGCGATAATTATATCACCTTTCAGTCAATTTCTCACCCCTGTTAATTAACACACCGTACCTACAGATTTTAGCCTCTTCGTATTAGATTTGTTGCGATAATTAGAATTTTACCGATATTTGTAGAAATTTACTAAAACGTGAGAAAACTATACTGTAAACGTACAAATCTCACCTTTACTACTTATCAGTGTTACGAAGTATATTTCTAGAAGGAACTAGGGTATTTTCTGAACTTTCCAATATGTTTAGTTGTAAGGTTTCCGAAGGTACAGCCATATGTTGTGATGCCTATAAAACACACTAAAAGAATAACTAATCTGACAAATACATAGACAGAGATACATTAATTAAACAAAATTTGACTCAATAGTCGGTTTAAATGTTGGATATTTCAGGCTTCCCACAAGTAACCACTACTAGTGAAATATTCCATAACTTTTATTTTGGTCAATTCTAACAATTCTAATAATAAGCACATTGCTTTCTTTGAATAAAGATATATTAACTTTTGGTTTTTTAACTTTTCTTGGGGTAGGTGATGACTTTACAAATCCACGTTTGCTCTGGTATGCTGGACTCTTGACTGAAATTTGAACAGATCAATATATGTGCTGTAAGTAGATGAATAATACCACGACCTTTAACATTGACCACGCCAATTGACATCCTTTCGGACACGGGCCCTCTGCGTTTGACCGTTTTTTGACCGAGCAGTGTGCGACAGGACCAAGGTAAACGTCCATGGTTCAAGCCAAGATGATGGCCTTTGAAAATGGTTACGGGTTCAAGGTCGTAAGTCAAGGTCAAATGTCTCAAAACTGACTTTGAAAAGTTTGTGTTCAGTTTTCTGTAACATGACCATGACCCACGACTTTATCTTTTTTCTGAAGGACGTCGTCTCTGCTTTCACCTCGAACATTAACTTTGATAATACAGCAAGAAATAGGGGCGCAGCACTTATAAGTGCCAAGGCCCCGAGATGGATGGGAAGTTTGGACTCAAGGTCAAGATCACGGTTGGTTAGCGTTGACTAGTCGAGGTCACCACGACCTTTCATATTGACCGCGCCCATTGACTTTCTTTCGAACACGGGCCCTCTGCATTTGACTGTTTTCTGGCCGAGCAGTATGCGACAGGGCCAAGGTAAACGACGATGGTTCAAGCCAAGATGATGGCCTTTTAAAATGGTTACGGGGTCAAGGTCGTAAGTCAAGGTCAAATGTCCCAAAACTGACTTTGAAAAGTCTGAGTTCAGTTTTCTGTAACATGACCTTGACCCACGACTTTAGCCCATATACCTTTTCTGAAGGACGTCGTCTCTGCTTTCACCTTGAGCATTAACCATGATAATACAGTAAGAAATAGGGCCACGGCAAGCATAAACGCAAAGGCCCAGAGATCAATGGGAGGTTTGGACTCACGGTCAAAGTCAAGGTCACGCTTTGTTAGCGTTGACTACTGGAGGTCACCACCACCTTTCATATTGACCGCGACCATTGACTTCCTTTCGAACACGAGCCCTCTGTGTTTGACCATTTTCTGACGAAGCAGTGTGCAACAGGGCCAAGGTAAACGTAGATGGTTCAAGCCACGATGATGGCCTTTTAAAATGGTAACGGGGTCAAGGTCAAATGTCCCAAAACTTAGTTTTAAAAGTTTGCGTTCAGTTGTCCCCAACATGACCTTGACCTACGACTTTGACCAAATCATCTTTTCTTAAGGGCATCTTCTCTGCTTTCACCCCGGACATTAACCTCGATAATACAGCAAGAAATAGGGGCGCAGCACTTATAAGTGCAAAGGTCCCGAACTTGATGGAAAATTTGAAGTCAGGGTCAGCGTCAAGGTCACGGCGATATTCACACGTAAAGGCCAATCCATCTGGTCAACGCCAAATAGAAATTGGTGGCTTAGCGCAAAATTTAAAATATACGAAAATTATTATTAAATTTTATGAACTGCAGTGTGTCGGAATCCGTCTTAGTGTCTTGTTATTCGAGTCTAAATCGTCAACAAAGAAAATGGTGACGAACGGATGAACTTCTCTTCCATTTGAAATTAAAAGGTCGGTAAAATAAAAAGTTATTGATCGATTCCTTAACATCCCCTGAAAATTTCAAGTCTCTACGACAACAGGAACTGTTAGAGGTACGAAAGTGCAATAGCGCCAGAAATATATAGGCTACCTATTACACACTCAAATCAAAAAGGGTCCAGGTATCACTCTCTGAAACGATGATTGGTCATAGAATTATTAGGCGTGAGTGAGATTTAATGAGTGAAAAGCTTGACGCTCCGATAAAAAAAATAAAAAGAAACATACCTGTTTCAGAGAATCCAATTTCGTCTCAATTGATTTGGTTACTGTTTGGATTTTTATCAATCATGCAAAGCAAATCCGGCAAATATAAGCTGACAAACTGTCACCAAGGGCAGCATAGGCATGGTAGCCAAGAACCTCTGTTAATTCACTGACTACTAAAACACTGGTGAAAATATTAAGCGTCGATATTTAACGCTCATAATTCCGCTACATATCCAGTAGAAGGAAACCCTTTGTTAATCAGCCATGATTTCCAGTAACCTTTTTTTTTTTTTTAAACCATATTTTTATTCAGGTTGACTGAATGGGATTGGGGAACAGGCTTAGCCTATGTAAAACCCCTCTCCCTTGAACTGATCAACCATGACATTGATCGAACCTTGAACTTTGCAACTCGATTTTCACATGTTGACATTTTAGCTAGAAGAGCGAGACTTGATAATCGTAACGATATTTTTAACGAAGGAATCTGATAGGATCACAAGCTGGGCTTATACCCAATCGAAATTAGT